ACATACATACATACATACATACATACATACATACATACATACATACATACATACATACACCTTTCGTACACATGCTTTGTCGGATCGTCCTCGCTGCATCCGGCATTCCTCGGTCGGCCTCCTGCGCTGTGCGCAGGTGCGTGCCAGATGGGCGGATGAGACGACCGAGTTCAGCAGCAGGTGTGGTTTCACGGACGAAGCCAGTGGAGCTCCAGAGAGGTGGATAGTGACCTGAACTAGCACCCAGCTGAGGTACCGAACTGGGATAGTCGAACAGTCGGGTTCTTCAACCTCTGTTGGTTTGTCTCACTGACCAAATCACTCACTGACCGCCACTTTGCTTACTTACTAATCATGTGTCATGGCGGTCATGGTTATGGTTACTAACCGAACCCTCTCAACCGAAAGAATATCAGAAGAAGGGATGGGCTGGATGGGGCCCGTTGTTGAGCCCAACTTCTGAGCTCTCCCACGGCGGTTTCAGCGGGGGAGGCCATTCAACCGGGGTGTGTCCAGATTCTTGTGGGAGATGCTTTGTGGGACCCGAACCCCCCTCCAGCATCAAAGCCACACAGTTTCCGCATGGCCATGAGCGGCTGGAAGGACCAGTGATGTAGCCTCTGGACTTACTCCTCCATCCCCTGGAGCAGCCGTGTTGCTATGTGTTGCTCAAGTGTTTGAGTGATCCACATGGATAGAAACTGCTGCCAATGCATCTTTGAGGGGACACCACTTCAGGTATGCTGTAGATGGCATCCTCTAGACCACGAGGACCCCACATCATTCGCTCTATCACAGTATTTGGGGATCAATTGCTCCTGGCCTTCATACTAGGAACAAGAAGCTATATATTAGAAACAAGAAACAAATAGAATTATCGATGTTTGCTCAGGTATCATCTCCGGTGTTTGTTGGCCATGTTGGCCCCTGCTTTCCGACAGGATCAACAATCTGATCCTGCACACCTATGGCTCCTTGCCTCACGCAGTGAGCACGAACGACCCGCACCGCCGAACGACCCGCGCCGTCTCCGCCGGAAGGGGTGGAGTGAGGCTTCTTGCAAGGCACTTGTTCCTAGTAGCTTATTGTTTTTAATAGCTTCTTGTTACTACTAGTAAGGCACTTGTTACTAGAAGCGATGCACTTGTTGCTAGTAGCTTCTTGCTACTAGTAGTAATGCCCTTGTTACTAGCAGCGATGCCCTTGTTCCTCGTAGCTTCGTGTTCCGAGTAGGCGGCAACACAGGTGCGTAGCCGCTAGCCTGGCTCAGGTAGCAAGGCCGAAGAACTACTGTTGGAGGAAATGCTGCACCTTTTAGGAGCGAGATGCTGGTTTACACAGGGTTCCTCTTGAGCAAACCAACTCGGTTGTAGCGGAACAACACTTTCCATCAACAGTAGAGTTAGTAGATTCGAGACGCCCAACCATGGCCTGGCTGCCAGCACTGTCCTTGGCTGCCTTCGTGATTTACATGGCAGATCACTTGGGTGGTTGGCTCTCAGTGCGGCTCAGCTCCTTTCGGGAAGACAGTGGCATGGCAGATCGAGAAAACGAGAACAGGGGAAGGAGCGTCATGTTCGTCCTCTAGATTCATCATTCATTCCCATTTGGATTAAGAAACCTGTTTATAGACGGGACTTTTAATTAATCAATCACTCACCAAGAGTCATCCATCAAGAGTCTACACGAGTCTACATGACTGCCTGGAATTCATATCAGGAAGTATATCACTTCTTGCAACCTCCGATCCGAGACGCTTCGACACTTTGATTTGACCCAAATACGAAGCGAATTCGCCAGGTGTTCCAAGTATGAAAGGCAAGGTAGTCGTGGTCACTGGTGGCAACGCTGGCATTGGTTGGCACACGGTGCGCTTGCTGGCGGCCGCAGGGGCCAAGGTGATTCTGGCCTGTCGAGCGGTCCAGAAGGGATTTGAGCAGGTGCAGACACTCCCGCCGGAGGTTGCGCAGCAGGTAGAAGTGATGGAGCTTGACCTGGCGGTCTTCGAGTCAATTGTGTCTTAGAGTTTGTCAACTTGATTTTACGTGGATATTTTTTTATATCGCAGAAGAGCAAGATGTATATAGGTACACACACAAAAATAATTTATGCATATGCATATGCTGTGCACATGGTTCGTATATGTTGCTAGCCCTTGTGCGTCAGGTGGCATTTTCCAGAAGGTTTCAGGAAAAGTACCAGCAGCTGCATGTGCTTGTTCTGAACGCGGGGCTTGCCAAGACATTCCTTGGCAGTGCTGGCTGGAAGTTGACGCCAGAGGGTTTGGAGGAGATGAGTTAACGCCGGCCAATTCGTTCTGCCTACCTTTGAAGGAAGGAATCTGGCAGTACCTGAGATAGAGACGATGAAGGCAACGTGTAATTATGTATTTATGGTAGTTCCCGGTGGTGCAGGATTTCTTCCATCAACAGTAGTCCGGAACTATCCTTCTTCCACGTCCGCAGTTGTGGACATGTTCATGTCTTTTTGTACAGGTATGCGAAGAGTTGTGCACATCAGTACACATGCCAATACAGATAACCATCACCTAAGCTGCGAGATCATTTCACATCTTAGGAGCGTTGTGTGCCCCCATGCCGCATCAAGGGAACAACTCCCCGAATAGAAACCAACAGCAAAAAAGATCGCTCATAGTGTTCTTGAGCGGAGGCCAGCAAACCCCCCACGGAGACCAGCAAATCCTTCGTCCGGACTCACCGACTCCCCTTTTCTTCATTTGTTCTTTTCTCCCGTGGAGGAGATGGTGGGGGTCTCTTTCCTGGGCCACTACCTGCTGTGCCGGCTTCTGTTGCCTGTGCTCCGGCACGGGCACAGCCGGGTCATCGGGCAGAGCTCTGTGGCCATGGCCAATAGCTATTTGCGGGGCATTGATCCAAAGAGCTGGACCTCGAAGCCGCAGGCGGGAGAGGAATTCTCCAGTTCGCGGTTTTTGAGGGATCTCAGTTCGGAGCCAGTAGCGGAACGAGGAACCTGTGAAGATTGAAGGGGAGGAAGTAGTGGCAACAGTAGTGGGTGGTTCTGATGGGTGGTGGTTGGACGCAACTAGCAAAGTGCATCCAAATGGCTAGAAACACGTGCCCTGGGATTTGGGGGCTATTTGGGGCATTCTTTGGTGCGGGATGATCCCAGGTCGAAAGGGGCCCGGGCATCGGCGGCAACCTCCAGGGCCCGGCCCAACATGGCCCAAGCATTCCACACCAATTCAGCTGGCCGTACCCCAACGAATTCTGGGTCTGAATCGACCTGATTTGCAGGACTACCATGATTGGAAGCAGTATGGTCAGGCCAAGTTGGCGATGCGCCTCTTCATGACAGAGTTGCAACGGCGAGAGCCGGGGGTCTTGTGCTTGGCCAACCACCCTGGAGTGGTCGAGAACACCAGTTTGATGCATCCGCAGGGTGCAGGAATCGTGGAGAGCTCCTCGCATTCGCCGATTCAGAGGGGATTTTGAATTCACCGATTCCGTTTTTGAAGCAGATCCAGGCTCGACATCGTGAGACATCAATACCCAGACACGACCTGTCTGGGACTGCCATAGATGCCGCCCCATTGACCCCCAAAACCACCCCAACTGATCGGCATATATGGCAGTCCCATGGAGTGTCTGGGATAGAGTGACACGTGACAGGCCGTTTGGGGCGCGACAGGCTATCACTTTTTGCTTTAGCTGTGACAGCCCAGCAGCTTCTGTGATTCAGGTGGTTGATCCACACATTCGTGAAGTTTTGCGGCCGTCATCCCAGTATCACTCCCTCCTGCAGGTCTTGATTAATTTTCAAGGGGCACAGGAGAAGAAAACGTTTTCCTCTACAAGTTACAAGCCATTCAGTCAGCGGTTTCAGGCATTTTTGATGCCCACCAGGCCTTTAGTTGGGGGTGCTTGGGCCCTGCAGGTCTCAATTGGGTGACCTGTCGGAAAGGGGTCACTATCCTGGTATATACATACATACATATATATATATATAATATAACACACGCCATATATGTAATTTTTTGAGCCATGGCCACTTGAGGATGGTACGATGCTTTGCTGTTCAAGCTTTGGGGCATGCGTGCCGCAGATGGTGGCCTCCAAACTGCTTGGCGCCCTGAACTGCTCATCAGGTGATGTTGTTGGCCTGCTTGTTTGCAGATTTTTTGCTCATTTTTTCCACTCGCTGACAGCCCTCAACCCCCTCGAACGTCCCATGAACAGATTGGGACACGCGTGTCCCGTTGCGACACTGCCCAAGGCTGGCATCCACCGCTGCGGAGCAGCTGCAAGGAGGGGCTTGCTACAAACCCATTGGCCGAGAAAGGCGCTTCATCTCCGATCCCCTGCAGCGCCTGGGAAACCTGCAAGCTCCGCTGCCCATGCGCACGGAAGCTCGGTATCACATCGGTGCTGACCGCGGGTCGATCCCTTTCGGTGTCCCCGGGGTGTGCCCCCCTAAATGACTTACGGAGCACGTACCAAAGCACTCTCTGAGATACAAGCGAAACATGCAAAACTGTGAAAATTCCTTTGGGTCTCGGTTTGTGGCAGGATGTGGTTGTCATGCTAGGATACCTTCTTCATTCGTCATATTATTCTTTTGATTGACAATGATTTCATTCATGCAAATGCACATGACGAATCAAGGAAAAAGGAAGACAAAGAGGACTATATATGGGATTTCATGTGATTTCATTGTATTTTAATACCCAAACACTCCATGTAAGGTATATTTACCTACATTGGGGTGGTTTGAGGGTCAACGTAGGCATATATACAGACATGGAGTGTCTGGGATATAGTATTCCTTTCTGGTTGCTGATTAAACAGGTTATATAAACTTCTACAACGAATTTGCATGTTCCTTTTCAGCGGATCCTCCGTTTCAATTGGCAACAGTCGATGAGTTCACTCAGACAACAGGGCACATCATTTTGAGAATCGGTGACAGGATAGCGAATAGACCGTTTCACGGTATGTTGTTTGTTGCTTGGCAGTGTTGTCCTTTGTCTCCACAGTTGTTTTTTTGTGCCCTGTACCTTTGTACCCCAATTGTGGCTTGATTAGAACATGAGGTTTGCCGCCTGAGCACTCAACTTTCAATTCAAGCCAGGACTTCCCAACTCTTTGGACGGATGCTGAGAATGTCGTCAATGAGAGGGCAGGTCGGAACCTCTTTCCAGCTGACACAGCGATACAACCTGCCCTTTGATTGTGTCATGCATTTCCAGAAGGGAAAGATGCAAGACTTGCTGTGAAGACCTCTTCAGCTACAGAGTTCACAAGCAGGAAAGGCAGCAAAAAGATGCAGCAAGTAGCATGCATGTGAGAGGCACAGTGCATGCTCGAAGAGGAGGTCTAGCCATTCAGAAGTCCTAACTGTGTGCGTTCCGGGGAAATGTGTGATTGAAGAATTGAAGACTTCGCCTGAAGTCGATCTCCAGGGAGACCAGGAGACACAGCAGGAAGGGGATGTTTCTCCGAGCGTGTCAAGACGGGCGGGTATGGTGGGTCTTCCCTTTGTTGGGCAAAGAAGAGAACCGGAAACAAATGACTGCAAGACATGAAACGAGTATTAAAGGACAAACAACATTTCGTTGAATTCGTACTTGTCCTTCTCTTCTTCGCAAACAGAGCAAGCGTTTTTGCTTGCTACCTTTGAGGCTTGGAAGTTGCAAGCTTAAACATATATGGTGAACAATACATTCCCGAAAAACTAACATGCACCCTGAGAGTGGCATCCTGAAAGACTGCTTTCCTTTACAGACCAGTGGTTTTCAGGGTCCATGTTAGTTTTCAGCGGAGTACATCCCAGACATTCATTCCAACCTCCAGCCTCCTGGTGGCCTTCCACAACGGCCAGCAGAAGGGATGACAGCTCCAGGAAGTGGTCTCATTAAATCTCCACATTAGGATTTTTTCAACACGATGCTGCCGGGAGTTTTTTCAACAAAGATCTACTGAAATACGCACATCTTCCGGGAAGCGGGGTTGCTCCATGGTTCGAGTGGCCTGCCAACCAATCTAGCCGCTGGCTTGCGCCTGGCTCCCATGCAGCTAGGGAACTTCTTGAAAAACTATATGCTAAATCAAGACTGCGCGGGTGGGAGAAGCTTGACCAAGACGTGTGCCATATGGGTTTGGTGTGAGCTGTCAGACCCTTTCTTGGGAAAGGCAAGCGCATGCGGAGATGGTGATCTTCATGGGCTCAGTTTCCCCCAAGGTTTTTGTGTCATGCACACAAGCCAGACATTGGATGATCTATGGGCCAAGATATGCCAAGATGAATTACCTCAAGGTGGCTTGATCAAAAGGATTTTAGCTTGCACCACCTGAACCACCTTCTATCACATCGTCCCTGCGAAGAAAGGGCAGTTCACCATGGTCCAAGGTGAAATCAAACAGTGCTACACCTTGAGTAGTGAAAAGCTCGGCGAGGGCGGCTTTGGCTACGTCACAAAGGCCGGCATGATTGGCCGCACTGCGGCCCATGGTTGGCCTTGTTGGGCCTGCCTGCGCACCAGGGCCTATGCAAGAAGTGCGCCATATCTCAGGGCATTTTGAAGCACCTGTCCTTCCATGCTCCTCTGCATGTTTGCCCCCCCTGTCTTCGGCTCGCCCTGTCTTCTCGGTTTCGAGTCCACGGTGCCAGGGCAGAAGTCTGGAGACTGGGAGTCACTACGCCGTGAAGAAAGTCTCCAAGGCCGAGAGGAACCTCCGACGGCGCCCGGTCTTTTGTTTGGGGTGAAGAACGCGTGGGTCCGATGGGATATATGAACCGTGGTGGAGCGTCATAGAGGGCTCGAGGTTTCTGGAGGTCCGGTTTGTGTGGGTCGGGTGGGGCGTCAGACCCAGAAAAGCGATGAAAGAGTCTTCTTTTTGGCTGCCAGCATCCAATCATTCGGGCTTGCTTGGTTTGGAGCCCCTACCACCTTGCTGCCCCCCGCGCCAAGAAAAGCGCATGGAGAAGCCCGCCAGGCGAAAGCCAAGCAGCGGCGGGTGCAAGTCCGGAGCGAGATCGATGTCATGAAGCTGCACCTCGAACCGAACACCCCAAAAGGCAGGCACCCCTTGTTGTACATCCAATCCCATACTTTGGATCTGTCCCAGTAAACCTGCAACAGTCGGTAAAGAATCATCACTATTTTAGAGAAATGCCTGCAACAGAACCATCATCATCCACTGTTCCTGGTAATAGGGTAGATCCAAAGTATATCTACACTCCCTGAAGCCATCATGGGCCCACGTGGATGGCATGGCGTACGGAAGACCATTTTTGCCGAATACCAAACAGGTGGTTTCCCCATGTTTTCGCTCCATCTGTGCCTCGGAGTGTACCTGGAAGTCTTGAGGATCCGAACTGCGACGGCGCAAACAAACGGGGTACCTTTCAGTGACCTGCCGTAGCTTGAAGTGGATTCTTTTCCACTTCCGCATGCCCAAACGGTTCGGCTGGGGGATGTCTGTGGGCCGAACGGGCCGGTTCGGCACGACATGCAGGGACATCCCACCAATCGGAGACGGTTCTGCCAAAGCCCTGCATTTTGCCAGGAGAAGTCTATAGGGGGCTTCGGGCCTTCGAAGGGCCACTTTTAGAGGTTGCTACATGGCCAACAGCTACTTAGTGACTACTTGATCGTTGCCAGACCTGGTGCTTCAAAGGTCAAACCCAGCTCCCAGCTCCGGCGATCCACCTCGTCGGTCGAACGGGAACGTGGGTTCTGAGGACGGACCACCCCAACGTGGTGACGCTGCATGAAACTTTTGAGGACAAGTCACATCTGTACTTGGCCAAGTCCTCAGTCCCCACACTTGATCCCTGTCGGACGGACAACAAAAAGGTCGGTGATGCTGGAGTTGGGATGGAACATCTAGACATGACTCATGACGTTGGGTGTGGAACATCAACTCTTGCAACTCCTCCCTCATTTACCACAGTGAAAACCTCTTACTCTCACTCCTGTTCCTACTCCTACTCTCTCTCTCTCTCTCTTTCTCTTGCTCTTAGGGACTACAAATTGAACAGGTTGGGCTTTGAACCAGTTTCCTTCGCCTCTCGATGGTGAACTCTTGGGAACCCACGAGAGAGAAAGCCGCCGAACAACCGCGGGAAAGGTTTATGCGAGTGCCCACGAGTGCCAACTCCAACCTCCAATACAGTGATTTCAGAGTATGCATGTGTGTTCGAGCACCCGAAGATGTTTTTGGTGGTTTGGGGGTCCGTCCATCTAAACCACCCAACTTGGGGTAACTTGTGCCATTTCTCACCTCCGAAACCACTGTAGCTTCTGTGTTGGCGTCACTTGGGGGTGATACGGAGCACACCATCGCAGGGCTGAATCGAGCTCCCTGGGAGCTCGGGATCGGTTCTGGCACGGCACCCACTTTGTTTCCGCCCGCACAAGTAGCTTGATGTAGAAGGAAATGAAGTTGACACCCGAATCCAGCAGCGAAATCCCAGAGTGAGCTGCTTGTTTCACAGGAGTCTTCCACATGAGATCTGCATGTTTGGCCATGTGCCACATACTTGTCGTTGGCCACTCCATGCATGGTTTCCAGGTCTGGGGTGCTCACTGCATTCGGTCACGGCATCCATCCAGTTCCATCACGGGAAGCCCGTGCCCGGCGCCGGGTGCTTAACTGGTGCCCGGCGCCGGGTGCCACAGAATCTCGGTCCTCAGCGTGAGGTGATGGAGCTTTGTGGTGGAGGAGATTTGGACAAGCACATGCAGAGGCAGAAAGGCCCTTACAGCGAACATCAGGCCGGTGGCGTCTCGTGCCGGTTTTTCGGACGGCATGGACCCTGGCAATGAGGGGACCTAGGAGGGTCGTTCGAATCATAGGCTTCAGCAGCATGCGTTTGCTGGCGATATAGACCCGGCATTCTTTCGCTGGAACTGCCAACCGTTTGCCATATTTTTTGCCCTCGTCAAATCCACACAGGGCATGCAACCCCACCCGATAACCGGTGCCTCGAACCATGGAGGCAGCAATCCTCATGGAAACCCAGCGGGCGTCACTGTTGGTTTCATCCAGGTGGTTTCACTGTGGTTCACTGTTGGAGGCAGCAATCCTCATGGAGCAGATCCTCAAATCTGCCGCTGAGCTGCATGGCCGAGCTGCATGTCTCTCAACCTGTGCGCAGCGTGAGAGCCCTGTGATTGGCCATGGCAACTGGTCCTTCTTTCCATGTTGATGAATAACACCACACCCCATTTGGATGGCAAACACCTCTTCATATCAGGACTATTGATCATCAGTTAAGGGATTGTCGGTCTCAGATTTGCTGGGCGATTCGCGACGGCAGACGCAGACGCAGACGCAGACCGTAACCAACGCGACCCTGACTGGACTGGACCCTCCGCAAGCTTGGCTCAGGTGAGCTACTTGCACGACTGTAAGGGTATTTGCCGTTGACTCAGCCTTGACAACAGCACCGCGTGGAAGACCGTCCCTGCCACGTGGAAGACCCTCGTATTGCGACGAATTTGATTTGGCGCGCGCGCCCAATCAACCGCGGTGAGGCCATCGAGATCTCAAACCACACAACTTCTTGTTTTTGCGCCAGGCGGATCTGTCCCCCTTTTCCCGCCCCGCTCGGTGCCAGTCGAACCGTGCGCGTTCGTCGTTGGTTTTGGGGTGTGTGTTCGTCGAGGCGTCGTCGGCGTCGAGGACCGGCACGGAAACGTCCGGGAGACGACGGAGACGACGTGCCGGTGCTTTTTCAGATCGCATTTTCGAGCTTGGGTGCTGGTGCCGCCGCAAGGTGCCGCTGCTGTTCCAGTATGGGAAGAGCTGCGTGTGTGTATGTATGTATTCAAGCTTGGGTGCTGGTGCCGCTGCAGGTGCCGCTGCTGGGTCCGCTTGAGGTGCTGGTGGCGTGTCGCTGCTGTGTGCCCTTGCGGGCTTGTGCTGGTGCCGCTGCAGGGTGCTGCTCAAGGGTGCTGGTGCGGCATGTCTTTGGCCCTGTGCGCTTTGAAGCCCAGGTGCTGGCAGGGGGGCCACAATCTTTTTTTGCTATTGGGCTTATGCTGGTGTAATTTGGTGTGGTGTGTGCGAAGCAAGGTGGTGCAATTCTTGAAAAGCACTGGTGCCCAGCCACAGAGCCCCTTCAACTCAACAGGGTAGCTACTGTAACGGCCCTTTTGCCCAGACAAAAGTGGCTTTGGCAACCCCCAAAATTTTTTAGCATTCCCCAATGTTTGCAGGATTCATGATTTCATGCGGTCCAGGGCATGTAGCAGAAGATCTTCACGTTGGCCACGCCAGAGAAAGAGAGAGAGAGAGAGAGATTGACACATGACATTGTGTAGAGTTCGAGAAAGAACTGCAAGTGACTCTGCGTGCTGTCGCGGGCTTTCTTCTGGACCAGGAAATCGGCCCTCATCAAAGGAAGTTTAGTGTGCAAAGCTTCCGTGTTACGGACATTCAACAGCTGTTCAACCACCACTCATCATACACCACTCATCATACACCACTCATCATACACC